GAGGGAAGGCCCTCTTTGTTTTTGTGTGGGGACTTTAGGTGGCTATAGGACGCTTCGCTCGATGCTCGGGTCGAGTCTGCTTCCCTTGGACCGTTTGAATGAGGTTGCTGGAGAGCTTCAGTTCGCAGTAGAAGCTCGGGGCAATGGAGTTCGGGTCTGCTTAGTTCGTCGGCGATCGGAGCTCGGAACTAGGCAGCAGTGCTGTAATGCAAGGATTTGCTAACAGCTTGGTCTCAACTCTTTTTTCTCCAAGTTTTGCGACCTCTCTTCCATCGTGCTGGAAGGGGTTTTTAAATGAAAGAAGGACAGCTTGACTTCTCCTTGAATTGTGGGATGTGACCACATCCTCTTCAGAGACGTCTCGCCGTTCCTCGATACCATGAACGGTCATTCCAGGGATTGTGTTCTATGTCCTGTCACCTACGATGGGAAGGCCCATTCTAGTATGTGAGGCAACAACCGACTGCTATCCGAGTGGATTTGACCAGCATTAATGAACCGCATTTATGAGTTCGCAGATCGATGAAGTGTCTGTCCGATCACTTGTACTGTGCGTAATCGCCCGGCGTGCTTTGAGCACGGTGCTTTCTCCTTTCCGGTCAGGGGAGGCGGTGAAGTAGGTGTACAGTACTCGAGTGGGTCTAGCCAGCTTGCCGAGTGCCGGCGGATCCAGCTCTTGGCTCAGACAGCCGAGGTGAGTCGCATTTATGAATGCTCAGGTTGACTCGACACCTGTCCAGTCCCTTCGCGCTGTGCGCACTGCGAGCGGCCGTTTGACGGTCCTGGGGTACTGTGCTCTCTCTCCCTTCGGGTCGAGAGAGATGGGAAGGTCCATCTCAGCACGTGGGGTAGTGGATATCCAGCTGTACTGACGGTTTTGGGGCTTGCTGGCGGATTCGATTCCGAACTCGGGCAGGCGGGTTGAGCGAAGAGCGAATTTCTGCCATCCTGATCGACCCAGACTCATGCTGGCGAGTCGCCCGTTAGGCGAACCTGGACCTGAGTACAGTCGACGTCTACGCGATTTAGGTCCGTGCCAGAGAATTGGGCGTGCGAACTCTTCTCGTAGGCAAATTTCCTGTAGACCCATAGAGGTATTTTTTACCGTCTACACTTCTTTAATTACGACACGAAGAAGATGAGTTATAGACTCAACAAACTAAACGAGTAGCGGTAGGACATTGGAGAAATTCTATGGCAGATGCCATGTGGGATTATGGAAGTCGAGTCACTCTAGGGATTTAGATTTACATTTAGTTGGAAAATATTTTATTATTTGAGATAAATAGTGATGATTTATTGCTTTATATTTATAGTTGTTACTAGCCTAATCAATCTTATATTATTTTTAATATACAATTATTAAAAATAGTAATATATATTCACCATTACCCCCACCAAATTATCCTACCAAATTATACAACTTTATAATATTATCCACAAGTATCCCACCAAATTATCCTACCAAATTATTCCACTTCAAAAATTATCCATCATTGTTCCATTAAATTGTCCCTGTGTCAAAAAAGTGTCCCACTTTACCAATTATCCCAGTTCAACTTAAAAAGTTTTAGATGACTAACCCCCCTAGAACTTAAAAAGCCGATATTACTTTAATTATTAGATCAAAAAAACTGATTCCTTCTTTAATTACGACACGAAGAAGATGAGTTATAGACTCAACAAACTAAACGAGTAGTGGTAGGACATTGGAGAAATTTTATGGCAGATGCCATGTGGGATTATGGAAGTCGAGTCACTCTAGGGATTTAGGTTTACATTTAGTTGGAAAATATTTTATTATTTGAGATAAATAGTGATGATTTTGTTTGTTGAAAATTTGCAGTAAAAAGACAATGAAAGAAAAATTAACTTGTATTCCTCTTAAAATCAATTACAATTTGGATTCCGATTACAAAAGAGAGGAGAATGAATTTGATTCTCCCCTTTGTTTAATTCTGGGTTCTTCACGGTGACGATGAGATGCCTCCCTTGAATGCTCGCGTCGAGTTTGCTTCTCGTTGACGATCCGAACGTCTTGATTCACTGGAACATGATTTTCTCCTCACGATTTGATGCTGTGGAGAACTTGCAAAGCAAGTTTAAAACTCTTGATGAGTTGATAACTCTGATCGAGTTTGAAGAAGAACTTACAGAGCAAGTTTTGAACTCTGATCGAGTTGATAACTCTGAACGAGTTTGACCTCTTGAAAAAGAGTTGATTTGAACCGAAAGTCGGTTATAAGCCAAAGGAATGCTCCTGTTGCCAATCTTGAAGATGATCTCTGTTGGAGAATGATCCGATCTCCAAGAAATTCCCCCTTTGCTGCCAAGTCTCAGATCCCAAAAGCCCTTGACCGAATCTCCCTCTGTTGATGAGATAAAATCCGATCAGAAGCTAGCCGAAGATCTCTTCTTTGCTGCCCCCAAAAAGAAGGATCCAAGAGCCCCGAACTTAGTTGAGTTTCCCACTATTTATAGGGGATTAAGGGTGGTAACTATCCCCTCAATGGGCTGAGTGGGGGGTGTAACCGCCCCCTCTTAAACAGCTCCCTAAATCGTAGGGAAAACGGTTTTGAAACCGTTCTGTTAGTGCTTTGAACGAGTTAAAACGCTGAAAACAGCGTTCTGGGCCCGAACTGTGCGTTTCTGGACCTGAAACACAGAGTTAGGCCTGAAAACGCACAGTTGGGCCTGTTTAAAGGCTGAAAACGCACAGGTCGTGCTGTTTTAGAGATGAACTCTGCGTTTTAGGCTGATAACGCAGAGTTGAGCCTATTTTAGGCTGAAAACGCACAGGTCGTGCTGTTTTAGAGATGAACTCTGCGTTTTAGGCTGAAAACGCAGAGTTGAGCCTATTTTAGGCTGAAAACGCACAGTTGGACCGTTTTAGAGGTGAACTCTGCGTTTTAGGCTGAAAACGTAGAGTTGTGCCGTAACTCTGCGTTTTGATGTTATATCCCAAGGATAACCTCTGCGTTTTGAGGTTATAACGCTGGTTCGACCTGTACGTTTTGACTCTGTAATGCAGAGGCGAACCTTAGGCGGGCTTGGCGAGCTTCAAGCTAAGTCCAATGTTCTAACGAAGTCTGGTCTTGCGGACGGACTTCAGAACATAATTTGTTGCGAAGAACATGTCATAACTTTCAAACCGTAAGTCGGAATTGGACGAATTATATATGAAAATCGGCTATCTCGAAGAGGCGGGGCCATCCGAACCAGGTTCGCTTCCTCCGTTTTGCCAAATTCCTTACGGTTTGAGAGATATATGCGTTTTAATATGAAGAGACCGTCAATTTGTAGTCTCTTTTGCTAGAGCGTTGCAAAGATCGTCACCTTGTAACCTTCGTCTTGGCTCTTTGAAAATATGAGAGTCGTATGAGAGTCGTCAGATTGTAACTCCCGATGTTGATTGTGAATGCTGTTGAATTAGAGCTTTCATCAGTTGTCGTGAAGGTCATCAGATTGTAGCCTTCTACGTGAAAGTCCTCAAATTGTAGCCTTCTGGAAGTCGTCAGATTGTAACTTCCATCATCGGTGTTTGATGGGGGATCAACTATCTATTGTGATTTTTAGACAGCCTACAGATTTATTGCTTTATATTTATAGTTGTTACTAGCCTAATCAATCTTATATTATTTTTAATATACAACTATTAAAAATAGTAATATATATTCACCATTATCCCCACCAAATTATCCTACCAAATTATACAACTTTATAATATTATCCACAAGTATCCCACCAAATTATCCTACCAAATTATTCCACTTCAAAAATTATCCATCATTGTTCCATTAAATTGTCCCTGTGTCAAAAAAGTATCCCACTTTACCAATTATCCCAGTTCAACTTAAAAAGTTCTAGATGACTAGCCCCCCTAGAACTTAAAACGCTGATATTGCTTTAATTATTAGATCAAAAAAACTGATTCCTTCTTTAATTACGACACGAAGAAGATGAGTTATAGACTCAACAAACTAAACGAGTAGCGGCATGACCTTGGAGAAATTCTATGGCAGATGCCATGTGAGATTATTTAAGTCGAGTCACTCTATGGATTTAGAATTTCATTTAGTTGGAAAATATTTTATTATTTGAGATAAATAGTGATGATTTATTGCTTTATATTTATAGTTGTATTTTATTATTTGAGATAAATAGTGATGATTTATTGCTTTATATTTATAGTTGTTACTAGACTAATCAATCTTATATTATTTTAGATAAATAGTGATGATTTATTGCTTTATATTTATAGTTGTTACTAGACTAATCAATCTTATATTATTTTAATATACAATTATTAAAAATAGTAATACATATTCACCATTACCCCCACCAAATTATCCTACCAAATTATACAAATTCGTAATATTATCCACTATTATCCCACCAAATTATCCACTATTATCCTACCAAATTATACAACTTCGTAATATTATCCACTATTATCTATCATTGTTCCATTAAATTGTCCGAGTGACAAAAAATTGTCCTACTTTACCAATTATCCCAGTTTAACTTAAAAAGTTCTAGATGACTAACGCCCTACGTACAAATGATCAAGCAGAACTAACCAAGTATGAGTATTCGTCTGTTCAAAGGCGTGAACGGGCTGTGCATGGCAACTCGAAAAAGACGAGGCTGATCCGAAGTGCGGGTGGACCAATTCTGACCTGAAAAGTTGGACCATGATTGACCTTTAACTTCTTCCAAACGCAAAAAAAAAAAAATACACTAAAATCTCCATTCATGCACTCCAGTGCTAATTCTTTCACCTCTCACAATCTCCATACACGCACCAAATCCTTGCCCAAATTGAAACCTCGTCAAACCAAAATCCAAGCAATCACTCCTGCCAAATCTACAAGATTTACTCTATTCACTCCAATACTCTCACCAGTCACCACACTCCCTATATATACTCACCAACGCCCCCCCACCTCCTCTTCATGAGCATCAACGCGACTCTCCCTTCTCCTCTTCCTCCCAAAGATATGGCTCTCCTCCCACGCTCCCTCCTCGCCGCGATCGCGGCCGCAGTTCTTCTCACGACCTCTTTCGCCGCTCGTCCGGACCACCATCACCGCCACCCTCCGCATCATCCTCCCGTCGAAGCTCCGGCTTCGACTGATGAGGAACAGTGGTACCGTCCCGGTGTCACTCCACCTCCGTCCGAGTCTCCCATCCAACTCCATGCTGTAGGCTTCTCTTCACCTCCGTCCGAGTCTCCTTACAATCTTGAGGCCGCCCATCATTATCCGCCCGATGAAGCTCCGGCCGATCCGATGAAGGGGGAGGAAAAATGGTACCGTCCCGGTGTCCCTCAACCTCCATCAGAGTCTCCTATCCAACTGTGTCCCTCAACCTCCATCAGAGTCTCCTATCCAACTTCATGTTAATCCGCCCGTTGAAGCTCCGGCTCTGACGAAGGGGGAGGAAAAATGGTACCATCCCGGTGTCCCTCAACCTCCGTCCGAGTCTCCCATCCAACTCCATGCTATAGGCTTCTCTTCACCTCCGTCTGAGTCTCCTTACAATCTAGAGGCCGCCCATCATTATCCGCCCGATGAAGCTCCGGCCGATCTGATGAAGGGGGAGGAAAAATGGTACCGTCCCGGTGTCCCTCAACCTCCATCAGAGTCTCCTATCCAACTTCATGTTAATCCGCCCGTTGAAGCTCCGGCTCCGACGAAGGGGGAGGAAAAATGGTACCGTCCCGGTGTCCCTCAACCTCCGTCCGAGTCCCCCATCCAACTCCATGCTATAGGCTTCTCTTCACCTCCGTCTGAGTCTCCTTACAATCTTGAGGCCGCCCATCATTATCCGCCCGATGAAGCTCCGGCCGATCTGATGAAGGGGGAGGAAAAATGGTACCGTCCCGGTGTCTCTCAACCTCCATCAGAGTCTCCTATCCAACTTCATGTTAATCCGCCCGTTGAAGCTCCGGCTCCGAAGAAGGGGGAGGAAAAATGGTACCGTCCCGGTGTCCCTCAACCTCCGTCCGAGTCTCCCATCCAACTCCATGCTATAGACTTCTCTTCACCTCCGTCTGAGTCTCCTTACAATCTAGAGGCCGCCCATCATTATCCGCCCGATGAAGCTCCGGCCGATCTGATGAAGGGGGAGGAAAAATGGTACCGTCCCGATGTCCCTCAACCTCCATCAGAGTCTCCTATCCAACTTCATGTTATCCGTCACCCTTCACCTCCGTCCGAGTCTCCATACAATCTTCATGTCATCGACCACCATAAAGGCCACCACCATCATCACGGACACCATTCTCAGGCCAAAGCTCCGGCTCCCGGCCATCACGCTCCTGCCGGTTCTCCCTACGTCATCGACCGTGAAGTGGTTTTCCATGAAGACCACCACCACCACTCTCCTTCTCCGGCGGAGGCTCCTTATTACTCCGGTGCTTATGCTCCAGCTCCAGCGCCAACTAGCGCCGCTAATGTGCTCCGGTCAGTCTCCGTTGTCGGAATTGTGGCAATATTGGGTACAATGCTTCTCATTTGAAGTAGTCCGTTGGATGTCATGCTGGTATTAAAATTTTATGGTCAATAAACAAGAGCAATACATATTTTACGGGAGAATATCGTTGAGAGTTTTAAGTATTATATAGTAGGATGTCACCCAGTCTGAATAATTAAGCAAGAAATGTTTGCTTATAGATTGCTGACAGAATTTTGTTTTTGTTGTTTTATTGCATTCTATGAATTAAGTTTCTCTATTTCAAGTAAAGAACTCAATCTGCAATTGGGGGAAGTTCAATTACTCTGATGTTTGTGGCTTCTTTCACTTCATAACAAATGCTAAAACAAATCTTTCCATGTATCACAGGTTCTCTTAACTGTTCAAGCAATCAAAATTAAATCACAACAGCAAGAGATCTCTCAGTTCAGTATCAAATTCTTGATTCTTAAATCAACCACAAATTCTTTTTTTCAGAATTTGTGGAACCTAAGCAGAATTATATGCAGTTTTTCCTGTACACTGACCAGATATGAAACCATTTTTTGCTCTTAAAACTTTATTACATATATGAGCATAAAATTTCCTGTAGTTCACACTAGAAACAAAAGAAAGAAATCACCTGAATACCACATTATCACTGTAGTATAATAGAAATAAGCAAGACTCAACAAGGCAAGTTTTTGATCTAACAACCGAATTGCACCTACATAAGAGTTGATGAACTGTATATTTGAAAATTTTGAACTAGTCCCTCATTAATTGAAACATTAATTCAGATGGATTCAAGTGCAAATTAATTTTAAAAAAAAGTCTCTTTTTTTTGTAAAATATTAGTCCCTTAAATCTTCGATACTTTGAAATTGGTCTCTCAAATCATTGAAATTGTCATTCCAAAATTAGTCCCTCAAATCATTAAAATTGCAATTAGATCTCCAATTTTTATAAGCCATTTCAAATTAACCCATCCAATAATTACTACAATTAGTAGCAATATATGAGAATGGGGGACATTAATAGCAGTTGCAATGAGTTGGTGGGACAAATTTAACATATGAAAGATTTAAGGGACTAATATCAGAGAAAACCAGAAAAAAAAAACTATGAGCAAATTAATATTGCTTGTTAGTCTGTTTAAATTCATAGTAGAGAGCCCATGCAACAGATCCTAATGTGATTGTTTAGGCAAATTATACACTTTGGATAAATGCCAGACATGTACAAATTAAAACTAAAAGGAAAAGATGTGGTTACTCTCGTCACGATATTAATTGTATTTTTTCAGAGATCAATTTAGATTGGTCAAATGTTTTAATTTCTTGCAAATGCGTGTGTTCATCCTCTCTATTTACATGACCCGGCTGTGAGTTTGTTTGCGTTATGATCTCATGTACAAACCAACCGAAGTGAACGTGCATCCGCAGAATTTGAGTCGCGTTATGATCACAGGTAGCAGTTCGTTACGCAATTTAGCATCTCTGAACTGTGAACTGAGAGTTCAATCAAAGATGGCAGCAAGGAAAAAAAAAAATTAACAAGTCAATTAAGCTTTTCGATATGAAGCCTGCATTGTTGCAATTGACATGTACAGTTAATGTTCCCTTCACCTCAACTCTTTTCCAAGCCGTCCACAGATATGCCATCATTCTATCTCAGAAACTAGAACGCATACTGGACTTTTGATGCTTGGAATGTGCAGATTATATATGTGGTAACTGGAATTTATAATTTCATTGGTGGATTTAATTTCTATAGGAACTGAGGCTAGAATTTAATAAACTTCATTAATTGAACAGCGAAATCTAAGTTGTTGAGACTATATATACATAATGGTGGTTAATTAATGTAGTTTTCATTTCTTGGTGTTGTAACAGGTGCTGGGCTTGAGTTTTGTTACGTTCATTTATAAGATTTCGGAGCGAAATTACGCAATATAGGCTAAAAGGTGTAGAATTGTTATGAACAACTACAGAGACAGCAGTATGAGAAAATTCTGATCGTTGAGCAGTGAAAGATAAATCTTTTCGGATATAAGGGCCATGGCCATATATAATTAATTATTTATTTATAGAATAAAATTAATCAGCAAGGGCGTTTGGTCTAGTGGTATGATTCTCGCTTCGGGTGCGAGAGGTCCCGAGTTCGATTCTCGGAACGCCCCTATCCATCCATACTTTTTGTTAATTATTTATTTTTTTAATTCAAGGTTTTTTTACCCCTTAAAATTAGGAAAGTGTATTTATTTTAAATTCAAGGGTTTGTTGTTAGTTTTCTTTTTAATTCAGGTGTTTTTTAACCCTTAAAATTAGGGGAGTGTATTTTTAAAATTCAAGGGTTTCTTGTTAATTAAGTTCGATTCACTTTTTGTTAATTATTTATTTTTTTTAATTCAAGGATTTCTTTACCCCTTAAAATTAGGAAAGTGTATTTATTTTAAATTCAAGGGTTTGTTGTTAGTTCTCTTTTTAATTCAGGTGTTTTTTAACCCTTAAAAGTAGGCGAGTGTATTTTTAAAATTCAAGTGTTTTTTAGCCCTTAAATTAGGAAAGTGAATTTTTAAATTCAAGCTTTTTTGTTAATTATTTATTTTTTAAAATTCAAGGGGTTTTTACTCCTTAATATTAGGAAAGTGTTGACTAAAAAAGTTAACTCAAATTGGACCTTTTTTTTGCCAAACTCAGAAGCAAAATAAATATTTTTCTTACAGAGAGAAAAAAATCACCTTAATCCGTACTTCGAACAAATAACTACTCCTCCATCTTATGGTGCTCCAGCATCAGCTCTTCCATGGAGGAAAAATTAGAAGGATGAGATAAAAAAATCAGGCTTTTCTATTCTTTGTTATTATCTAGATTAATTGTTCATTTTGCAATAAGCAAAAACGAGGAGAAAGAAAATGTCGTTTGCGAAAATTCATTTTGGATGATAGAAACAGGGCGGGCCCCGAGCTTTGGGTTGCCCTAGCTCAATCTAATTTTGGTTGCCCCTTATATTAAAAATTTAGTTACAAACAACTACGATAAAAATGAATACATACAATACAATTTAGCGTTCTATATTGGGCTCAAACTGATAATATTCTCATGCAGAATCAATATTCATATAAAAAGAGATTACATTTGTGCTACAATTTAATTCAAAGAAAAATACTTCTCATTGAATTTTTTAAAGCGAATTCTTCAATTAAGTCAACATACTCAAGTTTCTCCAAGTATTCATTTTAATTTTATATCATTACCAATCCATTCAATTGTTTCTGTGACATGGTAGTGCGAAGATAACTTTTTATTAATTTTAACTTGGAGAAACTTCTCTTCGCTGAGGTAACCGTAACTGGGATAGTTAACAAAATTCGATAAGCAACCCATTCCAAAACATCATAACCCCTAATTCAATTATTCAACAACTAAGATTTAACCAAGATTCAAAATCAGAAATCTTAATTTCATTGCAAAACATCAAAACCCTAAATTTCTGTCCCAAAAAACCCTAAAATTATTTAGTTAAAAAAATTTACATGATTGGGTTGGAGGAGTCAGCGGGGTAAAGCCTGAAGGACGGGTCCGATGGGAGCAAAGTAAGGTCAGACCGTCGGAGGCTCGGGAAGGAGGAGAGGAGCGGTTTTCTCTCTTTCTTTTTTTTTCTTTTTTTGTGAGCGAAACAGAGACGAGAAGGAGGAGACGAAATGCTGACGGAAATAAAGGAGTTGGGTAGGGTTTTGGGTATTCATTAGAGTTCTTTTACAAATAGAACCCATAACAATTTTTGCATAAAGGTCCTCTTACAAAGTCCACTTCAAAAATCAAAGATAATTACAGTTTGAGGGGTAAAGGAGCGGGAGAGATGGATTGCTCCCCGGCCCTAGGTTGCCCCCCGGCCCTGGGTTGCCCCAGCCCCGGGTCTTGGTGGGCTTACCCCAGGGCCAGCCCTGGATAGAAAGCAAAAAGATGTAAACTTCAGCCAGCAAATGAAGTGTCATTTCTATTATTTTCTTCTAGTTATGAATGATTAAAGCTTGTAATTGGCGTGAGATAATAAGGAATTTGTTTTTTGCAGTTAGATGTAGGACGCTTAATAGTCTATTTAGATTAAGAAATATAGATTATGAAATAAATTTAATTTTGGAGTCAAATTAGATTAAGAAACAAAATTAATTTTTATTCATGATTTGTTTCTTCTATTATAAGGAGTCTTTTTAGGATAAAATTTGATACTTTTTTTTTGTAATTCTAGTCTTACTAGGAGTCTTATTTGATACTTTCTATTTTTATAACCACCCTCCGAGGGCCAACGGGTCGAACATGCGCAGGCCTATCACACGTTTCAACGTGTGTAGGAGCTGACGGCTCATGATCACCGGCTGTCCTACCTAAAGGGACAATAGCCGTTTCAATGAAAAAGAGCTGTCATTTATGGAAAAGGAAAATTAAAAAGAGACAGGACAATTTATAATTCTAGTCTTACTAGGAGTCTTATTTGTTTTTCTATTTAAGAAGAGTCATGTAACCCCAAAGGTTAATAACTTTTCATCAATAAAATTTCTCTTTTCAATATCCTCTTCGTGGATTCGAAAATCGTTCTTTATGGATTCAGAGAATACCCTTGGTGGATTCCCATGTTATCACTTTCGCGCTGCGTCAATTGGTATCTACTGATGTAGGACGCTTAATCTGAATTGGAGTCTAGTTAGATTAGGAAATATAGATTAAGAAATGAATTTAATTTTAGAGTCAAATTAGATTAAGAAACAAAATCAATTTTGATTCATGATTTGTTTCCTCTATTATAATGAGTCTTTTTAGGATAGAATTTGACACTTTTTTTTTTGTAATTCTAGTCTTACTAGGAGTCTTATTTGATACTTTTTATTTTTGTAATTCTAGTCTTACTAGGAGTCTTATTTGTTTTTCTATTTAAGAAGAGTCATGTAACCCCAAAGGAGAATAACTTTTTATCAATAAAATTTCCCTCAACCTGAAGGCTACGGCTCGGATTCCCAACATACAGTTGGTCGTAACCAAACTGACGAGCAAAGCAGAAAGGAAGATAAGGCTCTATATAGCACTGATTCTTCACCCGAAGGACAAGATATCCTACACGGATGTTCACTAACCATCGGAAGCAACCAGCATCAAGAATGGTTCGGTCACTTCTAGGGTTCTCCTCATCAATCAACGTGTCGCCATAGCGACCTGAAAAGTGAGGGAAACACTTAAAGAACTCCCAACTCTTGCGAACCCGAAGCTCTCGTTGAACATCGCTGAATTTGTTCCCAAGCCATCTACTTTGCTCCAACAGTTGCATGAAGGGGACAGGAATGTCAACAACGCTGGGTGCTGACATCAAGTCGGGACGGGAATAACTTTTTATCAATAAAATTTCTCTTTTTAATATTTTCTTCGTGGATTCGAAGTTCTTCGTGGATTTGAATATCGTTCTTTATGGATTCAGAGAACACCCTTGATGGATTCCGATGTTACTACTTTCGCGCTGCGTCAAGTTACCTCTTTCATTATTTTTCCTCCATGAAAACTTTCCTATAATATCCATGAAAATCGTTTTTTTTAAATTAAATAGTGAAGCGCCATATATTCTACTTTGTTTTCAACCTGACAAGTAACCTCTTTGCTCATGTGTTTTTTATGATTGGTTAATTCAGCTTTGTCAATTTATCATTAAAATACATCAAATGAGGAAAAATTAGGTTAGGTTCAATCCTAAACCTATTTAGTTCCAAATAAACTAAGTGGGGTGGTTCAACAAAGGACTAATTTAGGAAACTTTTTTTGGGCATAAAGATAACTCAGCTGGTGTTGCCGCAGTTTTCACCAAAGGTAAAATGATCTTAAAACTAGGTCTAGACTAATCCTAGCCCTATTTTAAGATATTGCCAAACACGCCCTAAGGCAGTATCTGACAACTCTCTAAAACGAACTAGGTTTTCAAACCTGGACCGATTAGAGGGAGTTTTTTTGATTGGTTGGGTCAGGAATGGCCCAATTTATTTCGGTACATATTTTATAGTTTTTATTGGTTAAGTTGTGGACCAGGAAGAAGCTGGTCCACAAGCTAAACTGGTTCTATTTAGAACCAGTTTTAAAGCCAATATTGACACATTTTTTATGAATTGCCTAATGTATGCTGTCAAAAAATTACTGCAGATAGCTAATCCCCACAAAACACAAATGATGGAGGTCACGATCTGACGACTTTCATATCAATCAATAAGAGTTACAATTTGACGATTCTCACAACAACTGATAATGGAAGTTACAATCTGACAACTTTCGTAATAACAAACAAGAGTTACAAACTGACGACTCTCACATCTCAAAGAACCAAATTCCAGGATTACAAGATGACAATCATTGCAACACTCTAACAGAAGAGATTACAAGTTGATGATCTCTTCAAAGCAACACGTGAAAGTCATCACCGCGTTCCAAGCTCAACACGCAGAAGTCACTAACGCGTTCCAAGCTCAAAACGCGGAGTTCACCACCGCATACCAAGCTCAACACACGGAAGTCATCACCACGTTCCAAGCTCAAAACGTAGAGTTCACCACCGCATTCCAAGTTCAAAATGCGGAGTTCACCACTGTGTTCCAAGCTCAACACACGGAAGTCATCACCGCGTTCCAAGCTCAAAACGCGAAGTTCATCATCACATTCCAAGTTCAAAACGCGGAGTTCACCACCGCGTTCCAAGTTCAAAACGCGGAGCTCACTAACGCGTTTTCAATTCTAAACGCGAGGGTCGTTTCCAGAACGCGAATTTCACGTTTGACTAATTCAAACATGTTTTAAACTATTCCAAAACCGTTTCCACGAATTAAGGGCATTAAACCCTCATTAAGGAGTGATTTAAGGTGGGCGGTTATACCCCTTAAACCCCTATAAATAGCTGATAAGTCAGCTACAAAAGAATCCTTTGGATCATCTTGGAGGTGGGCACTCTCTGGAGCTTTTGTGAAGGCTTTTGTTGAAGCTTTGGAGCAATTTGCCTTAGCTTTTTGAACCGGGTTTCGGTTGAAGAACTTGGAGATTGGTTACTAAATTATTTTTAGTTAAAAAGGATTAATTTCCTTTCTAAAATCAATTCTTTTACAGAGTTCTTAAAGTCGTCCAGAGTTTTTAAACTCGTTAAGAGTTCAAAACTTGCCTTGCAAGTTCTTCCCGATGTCAAGTCAAGAGGAATAGACTATCGTCCCACGAAGTGAAGTGCTCGGATCGTCAACGGGATACAAGAATCAAACTCTCATCGCCACCAAGAAGAACCTAGCTTTAAACAAAGGGGAAGGTCTTCGTCGATCTTTCTTTCTTTTGTAAACCGGAAAACCGATAAAAGAGATTATAATTTTTTTGCCTAAGTCAGTTAGAGAGAGATTACTGTGCGAGATTGTATTTACTCTTTTCCTAAATCAGTTAGGGAGATTAATACAAATCTGCTTCTCAATTTCCTTGCAACATTTTCTCCGACAAACACCTAACGGACCCTTCAAGTATCCACAGAATTGAGTCTTTGGTGCCTACACCTAGCCACCATAGTCAAATAACATCATTACTTACTCCATAAGCCACAGAATACAAAGACATTTCCATCTTCCACCATGGCCTCTAACCACCAAACCCTAAATAAAAATGATGCAGAAGGAATCTCCTCTCTCAAGCAAAGCCTGCGCCTCTCAAAGTCCCTCTCTACAGAAACATGACGTACGCACTGTTGGTAGCTGGAAAAACACAGTTTTTTTTTTCCCCTCCCTTTCTTTAACAAGCATTTGCATCTGGGCCACAACATTAGCTCATCAAGATCACATGAAACGCACATGATTGGGATTGGAAAAGCTCCCCCTATCATTTATTAAATGATTTATAACGAACTCAACGTAAACTTGGACCAAAAGGAATTGAATTTTTTTTTGTTTATTTATTTTATTTATTTCCCATGTGCCGCTCAGGCCTGTGTGCTTGACTGTCGATTAATTATTGTGGTTGAAATTGCCATTCCAAAATTGTGAGGGTATTGATGGAGCAGTAAAAGTAAAAGGTGGAGTTATTTTGATTTATGACGGAGAGGACTCCAAGGAGTAAGGGGATGTTTGGTTGCCATTCCAAATCCCTCAATTTCTTCTTCTCCTCTTCAACCTTCTTCCTTTTCTCAAACCCAACAAGTTTCTCCTCTTCCCTCTCACCCCCAACAAGCTTTGAAGCCCTCTGAAGCAAACCATCAAACACTTGAAACAGTGTCGCGCCAAAAAAGCTACAGTGCTGCGCGTGTTTGAAACAGTGCCACGCCAAAGCTGACGCAGCACTGTAGCACATCATCAAAATAGCGCTCGGTTGGAGAGGTGTTTGGCATTGGGTTTGCGTCATTTTGGGGATTTAGCGTAGGGTTAGAGATGCTCTAAGGGTAGGGTTAATTATAGCATCCGACATGAAATTTTGGGAAATTGCAGTAAGCCTTCATCAACTTTTTTTAATGACACTAAACACCGTGAACTTTTAGGAAGCTGCACATATCCCCCCATGAACTAATTTTTATTATTCTTGGGAAATACTTTTTTATTAAAATAAAATATTCATAACATTTTGGGGCCAATGAATTATTTTTATTATTTCTTTTTTACAGATGCTTGCCATATAAGATGTTAGACACAATGTTGCTAATTTAGAGGTTAAATTAGAAATAATTATGTAAATTTTAGTGAAATAAAACAGTTCATGTGAGTTACGTGCAACACCTTGAAAGTTCATGGGGGAGTTTAATGTAATAAAAAATTTAATGTGAATTTATTGGAATTCTCCAA